AAATGTGTTGCTCGAGTTCCGTTAGTCTTTTATAATAACTCATTCTTAATCAATTATTTAAGTTTTTACGCTGATATTTCCTCTTTCTTTTTTTAATGCGAACTCTGTTGGCATATTGATAGATATAATAGAAAATTAACAAATAGCAAAATAAGTAAAAGGAAAATATTATAAATAGAAAACATTGGCCCCGAGGTCTCATGTTATAGTACTAGAGTTCCAAATTTCATAGAATCATGATACGAGAAAATTTGTTAGATATTTTCGTGCCCATTATTTGATAAAGTATATAAATCTTTAAATAAAAATGTTATGTGTGACTGTCAAGTATTTAGTCTTTGTTTGAAAATTGTAATGTCCAAAAAAAATTTTGGAAAATAAAAAATACTTAACTATTATCAAAATTTTGCAGTGTGAAAATATTTCCCATACTCCGGAATTGTTATGTTCAAAAATTTTTGGCAAATAAAAAATACGTAATTATATATATTATCAAAATTTTGCAGTGGGAAAATATTTCACATACTCCGGAATAAGATCCCAGCAATACTTGGAAATGAAGAAATTTCAAGTAAAAAATAGATTTATGACAGTAACAAAATGTTAAAAAACGCCAAACGGATAAAACGGTTAAAAGCTCATTAGAGCTTATGTTGACTCTGTTTGTACACTTTGCCGACTCTAAATAAAGCTTATTTATTATTTTTTTATTTATTTATTATTTATAGCGTGCAGATGAACCCCGATGCCGTTATACTATAGCATACTATATATATGGGTTTTACTTGTTTTTGAAAGCCGAAAGGTGACATGCAGTTTACATCGCTATCCTTTGTTTACGGTTAAACATTGCGTCATTGGCAAAATATTTTGGTATCCGGTCGTTCCGTCCCCAAACCGATCCGGCCCCAAGTCGATCCGGCCCAAAGTCGATCCGTCCCAAGTCGATCCGGCCCACGTCGATCCGTCCCTACGTCGATCCGGCCCCACGTCGATCCGGCCCCATAATAAAATATGAATAAACTATATTGACTTTGGAGGATTTTGTGACAAATTTTAACAGTATAAATGGAATTTGTAAAAAGTATCGTTGATGGATGAAAACAGGTAAGTGAAGTATTGGAGTACCAGTCAAAGAATTATTTTACATCGATACGAAAATGAGTGTGATTGTGTCTGTTTGTATAGCAGCTTCAACATATTTTAATATGAAGTTATTTTCCATGATAACTTTGAATGTCATGGCGATTTTTATTTTATTTAATTCACACACAGAAAAGCTAAATAAATGTTTACAGTCCAATGGAACCTATAAAATTTAACTCATCATAATGACTTGTTTAGTCAAATCATTAGTCTATAATTGGTTTGTTTATTCAACAATTGTCTAATGAATGTGAACTAAGGTAATGCCACTCGTAATCACTTAATTCAATCAAATCCTGATTGATTAAAGTTACGTAATCAACAAGGTCTTTATAGTTTGATCTTTTGTTTGGTGTTATGTGTTATAATAATTAATTGTATTTTTTTTTAAGGTAACATCAGAGGCTTCTATAATACATGTTTTTTTTTTTGTAATATCGAATATAGTCAATATATTTTTTTAAAATTGACAATATTTTGAATAGTTGTGTGTAGATAAAAAAACAAGTTATATGAGTATCCATTATTCTTTATTGCAAGATAATAACAAAATAATTACACTGAATGCACATTTTCACTCTCTAAAATATAATATCAGCATTACTATAATATAACAATAAATTCATACACACTAACAAACACACTATCTCTGACACTCACATAAATATATATAACTCTTAAATCATTTACACTAACAGTTACACTGTCACTTACATAATATAAAAGGGGTCACACTTGCAGCACTACAATAACATATACAGTAACTATCATACGCAGTACGTATACATATATAATATATATCCATTAATCTTGAAAACTTGTGATGAAAACATAATCAACATATTTGTTTTAAACTCATCTGAAGAAAATATTTGTCAAAGGCCAATTTTTTTTTACCGTACACCTTTTACATTATAATAAAATTCATAAACATTTATGAATTACAATTAATATATATCTTTAGTTTTATTCCTTATAAATATATTTTTTTATTGGGCCGGATCGACTTTAAATATGGGCCGGATCGACGTTGGGCCGGATCGACGTGGGACGGATCGACTTGGGCCGGATCGACATGAAAGCAATATTTTCATATATATACTAATACATCTAAAAGACATCTTTTGATATATTCAACCAGTATTTAAATGAAAATAGGGTGCGAACGGATCCAAGGGGCGAACGTGTAGGGTGAGAATGTGTTTTTGGAGCGAACGCATCAGATACCGTCGTACAAGTCAATATTTATATTTTCTTTTTTTAAATGTTATGCTTTAATATATCATGTATAATTCTGTCCTTTTTATGTGAAAAATGAACAAACCACTCTGTAGTCCTGACCGTACGTATTTCCTGTTTTGTGGCTTTTGTAGAACGTTTTGCATGGTTTGTTGACATCGGGAAAGGGTGCTTTCATACACGCCCGCGTTCCAATGTCGTCAAAACTATTTTTGAGAAAACCCCTCAAGGCGACCGTTTCCAAGGCGCTCGTCGTTAGTAACATGCGTTAAAATATGCGCACTGTTAAAGGGCCGAGCCACCTTAAAGTCATCTAAGGTCGTCCGGGTTAATATATAAACACAATCGAAAGAGGGTTCAAATATATCATTGCACGAATAACAAAATATTAGATCCGCTTTATGGTTGTTTTTTTTTTTTTGCTTTTTTTTTTCAGTTTCCAAACAAAATTTTCCCTTTAGATACACATTTTTTGTAATAGTTTTCTAACAATAATAACGCATAGCACTCACTCAAGATGAAACATCCTTCAGATAAAATGAAACATTGAATGTCTACAAAAAACTTGAACCATACACTTAATCGGAAAAATTACATTGGATATATAGCAGTTTGACAAACACTAATTTGATCATTGAGAAGCTTACTATTTCCTTAACAATAGAATATGATTAAAACGTTCAGCTGATTTTTACAGAGTTATCTCCCTGTAGTTTTATGTACCACCTTAATACAGAAATGAAGACCCTCCCCCTTCTTTTCCATATCCGATCGATCTTCTTGAATGGGCTGATAAAATTTTACTCAAAAAAGATCATATTTGCAATATATTCATTTCTAAAATTGTTCGTTTACACATTTTGAAATTATAAAGAAACTAAGGTTTGAACTCTCTCAGGCAAAGTTGACCTTGGATAGATTTGGCTGTTTTTGTAGGTCCTTTTGGTTATATATATAGCTCTTCAATTCTTTCGGTCTTTGTGCATCCTTGGCTTTTAAATATTCGGCTTTGAACGTTCCTGATGAAGATAAATCCAGAGAAGCGCTTCGAACGAATGAAATCTATAGCGTGTTGTTTTCAATTTTTTTTCTCGAGTGCTATATTTTCTGGGACAGATATGCACAGGATATTAACACCTTACAGCAATAAATGTAATTTGAAAACGATTAAATAAATATTGCCCGTTTGATGTATGGGTCAATTAACGTTAACGCCTTTATCTTACGCAATAACGTTTTGCTTTTTCAATGTTGATTTCTTAATGATTTATTTGTAATTGTAGTCCGTGTTCAAAGGGGACAATTAACGTCTCGTGAAGTCGACATAATTATGTTCATCATAAAATTATTATTACTTGTAAATTGAAATAGTGTGTCAATCAAAACATAAAAAAGACAAGTTTTCTCCAAGGTGACGTCAAATCTTTAACTAGTTTCTTTGAAGAGATGTTTTGAATATGTCGGTCATTTCAGTACAAAAGCGTTTTAGAAGAAAATACTGAATTGAATTATAACAAGATGTCCAGGTTATATTGTTGGTGATTATTGCCGCAACTTATATATTCAAACTTCCTTTTTTAATGTTCTATATATTTCCTTTGAAAAAGATTATTTCTGTCCCAGAATTTTTCACGTTGTCATATCAGCTGTAGAACTTTCTTCAAGAATTCTTTTAGAATTGAAATAACCAAGATCAACAAAATTAATTAGAGAATCAAACGTGCACCAGCAGTGGCATCGACCCAGTGGTTGTATAAACTCATCAAAGATACCGTTGAACTTGTTATGCCAGACGCGCGTTTCGTTTATGTAAGACTGATCAGCGGCGCTTGTACAAAGAACGGTCTATTAACAAAAGTTGCTCCGGTCGAACCTACTTTAATTTTCAAATTGGATCATCCTCGGATTTTAATCTTAAATTAAGGTAGATAGGGTGTCTTCCTCTATCTTGGATTTTGTAATACCTGAAAACAATCGGTCTAGATCTTTAATAGAATGTGCAAATTTTGAGAGTAGTAGGTAATTCATGTGTAAGAATTTTCATTTCAATATAGAAAATGACATGTTTTATCATATTTATGGTTGTATTTTACAAAAAAAACAGTAAACTTTTGTTTGATTCAATTTTTTCCAACTTTGCCACATAAGGGGAGGCAACTCAAATGTAAGGGCAGATAATTCAGATAAAGGTACTTTTACAATAGAATGTGTTAGGAATTTACCTATTTTATCATGTAGCAAGAAAACGGGTCCGGTGACCCCATTTTCTCTTTTTCTTATCTGAAAGCATACTATTAAAGCTATCTTCTCATATTTTATCTCAAAATTCTATGGTGTAGTTTTCGTTTTATGGCAGAAAATTGGGTTTTCCATGCATAATCTATACAAAATCTGTTAATTTTGAACAATCTGTAGCATGAAATTAAGCCCCGTGACCCATTCTTTTTATCATTTTTTTTTAAAAAGCATGATATAAACTACATTTTGGCAAATTATTAAAAAATGCTATGGATTATAATTTAGACACCCCATCTACCTTAACGGCTCAGCACTTTGAATTAATGAAAATATGGCAAATCAAATTTATGTTGAATTAGTTTTTGCTCTTTTTCCAGAGAAATGCAAAGTTGATATTGAGGACGTATTTGGTCAAACACCGATGATGAAAGCCACAATATTTGATGATGTTACTATTATGAAGATTCTACACAAAGCAGGTAGGTAAAATTATTTTCTTGAACAATATCTATGTCAAATGATACCATGGCAATATCAATATGGAGTCATAAAGGTTGTTCTTTGTATGTAGCCACATTTTGTATTCACCCGTTAGTATATATAGTGAGTCCTGTTAAACTAAAATACAAAACTAATATACGAGTACGTTTCCTCTAATCTTGGGTGTTTTAAGTTTTAATTTTCAATTGTGTTTGCATTTAGTTGTCTCTATCGCTTATGTTTTCTTAATTTAATATTTTCTACATTATTATCCACATTAACGTCCACTCTTCGATATTGCTATCAATGGACACCAAATCGACCATTCACGACAACGGGAGAATTATAGGGCAAAACATCTTACAAAAACAAATACTCTTAAATCATGAGCATTTCAGTATAACTTACGATCAATTTTTGTCGTAAGATTTCTTGTGAAAAGAGTCCCAGGAATCCAGTATCCTTTAAGGGCATACGATACAGTTACAGGGGAGGAAATGACGTTGCTAACGTAAATGTTATTTTTCGAGAAGTCAAATTGTGACATATCGAGAAAAGATGCATTTTCGACTGATTTTTATCATTCATACTGATTTAACTTAGAAAAAAGTTCATAGACCCCTTTTTTTTTCAAAAAGACATTTGGCTTGATTATGTATGGAGATTATTTGTGCCATTTTTATGAACAAATCACCGATGAAATTTTTTTAAATTAGATAAATATACAGCAAAAAATGCCGTTCTTTGACTAGAATAATGAAAATATGATAAAAAAAAATAATAATTTCCAAAGAATTATTACACAAATTCAAATTATATTTATGTAGAAGATATTCCATATGATTTTACAAAAATCCGCTTGCGTTTATTTTTTGAAACAAAAAATGTGGGTATGTATTTCCAAATGATAGAAACGTCCAAGAAACTGAAATTTCCAGTAAATGTCTAAAATGTCTACCACATTTATTTCTAAAAGTAGCACATAGAGGTATATATATTTTTTTTATTACACATTTGAAACAACGAAGAGAAAAATAGCTAGTATGCAAATTTTCGTAAAAAAATCACCGTGGGACCAAAACTGTATCGTGTGCCCTTAATGTACATCGCAGGCTACTCTTCTAAGGCCAGATTCCTGTCATTTGATTCTACGAAAGCAGTTAATAATACGTTCGGTTACAATTTATTGTAGGATATTACAGTGTTTCACTATTTTCAGTTAATATTTAGTCTATAAAGTTTCAACTCTAACTTTACACACAGTACGACTGACCATTGGTTTACAATATGATTTCTTAAATGACGCTTCGATATTCTTGGAACCTATGTATCATTGTCTGCACCTACATGTATAATAACCTTTATAGTGATGCTAGAGGCCAGAATAATTGAAAAATTCAAAGCCTAATAATACAAACGTGGAAGTGCTGATAAAACCGAACAAGTATGGCATAACAATTTGCATTCATAACATATGTTTAAAATTGATACAAATTTATTCCCAGATTTTTTCTAAATAAAAGAGTGACCTCAGATGACGTTATTTATTACGACGAGTTGACATATGGTGTACTTTTATGTTATTAATTGGTTATTATATGACCTTTTTTTTGTATTTTACGACCATTTGACATAAAGAACCTTTTTATTGTTACACCTTACAACTGGTTAAAAGACCTTGCCATACAAATATCATTGAACATGTTGAAAGATCAATCAGAATATCTCAAAACAGGCTTTATAGCTTGTTGTTCGGTGTGAGCCAATGCTCCGTGTTGAAGGCCATACTTTGACCTATAATTGTTAACCTTTTATACATTGTGATTTGGATGGAGAGTTATCTCATTGGCACTCATACCACATCTTCTTATTTATATTGTGTATAGTACGTATAGTTTACAAGCGACGATCCAGAAATTGACGTTTAGAAGGAGACGGGGTGTATCAAAGTATGTTTAACGATGGGATTAAAATTAGTGGTTGCATCTGACATATATATATATATATTAATGGTTGCATCTGACATATATATAATTTGTTTATATTATTTCGTTTGGGCTTGTATTATATTCGCCTTCGGGTTTATATGATCCGTTCATCCTATTTCGACTCCTCAGATGACATTCAAGAGTCTATCCTAAATTGAGGTAAATTATACGGCCTTCCAAATACCGTTTCGATTCCTAACATCACTGAAAAGACATTAATTGTCGAAATCCGGATATGGTGTACAAAATTTTTGCACCTTTTGTTTGCGGTATACCATCTTTTCCGCAAGTTTATTGTTTTCTGTTTGGTATTAAATTAATAATTAAAATCCATTTTGTTACAACTGTGATCCGTTTATTTGGCAATCGCCAAAGGCAGTCAGCAGGGTTTAATAACATTTGTTGTTCCACCTGTTAGTCAAATGCGTTTTGTTAAAATATACTTTTTCACTTTTTTGGTCTTTTGAAAAATGTTGTTTGTGCTGTATTTAGACCCCTCTAACAAGAAATTTGTTTTGCATGCACACGTATAAAAATTGCGGTTTATATCTAACGCAATCATAGGTTTGAACGTTATTTTCACCTATGATTGCGTTGGATAAAAACTGCAATCTTTATACGTGTGCATGATATATATATATATATATATATATATATATATAAACTAGCTATTTATTCATTACTAGAGTCAATATGTTTTTTATTGAAATTGGTTTGGTTTTTTTTTTTCATTTTGTAATTATAGTCTCATATTAATTAAACTTACAATCAGAGAAAAATATATACAGTTCGAGTACATTATGTATTCTTGTACAATATATCAAACAAAGGCATTTTATTAAAAATAAAAAAATGTTATTCCTGTCTTAAATGGTTGTCTATTGCAATGCAAATTTGACAACTTAAATTAAATGTTGTAAACATATGTGCATGAACTGTCCACCCATCAAATAATTCAGTACAATATTTAATAGATAAAAATGAAAAATATTTCTTTGCTTTTTTATTTGCTCTAAGCTTCTAGCATAAATATAAAACCAAAGAAGATTTAATTGATCGATTGTTTGTTGTTTTATCGCAACTGAAGCTTTCAGCACTATTGATATTTCGCGGCAGTCAGTTTTTATTGTTAGGGGAAATAGGAGTGCCCGGAGAGAAACACCATTCTTCGGGAGGAAATTAAAACTGACAATCCTAGTCAATAAATATTGGAGTCGAACGAACCTGCTACGTGCGAGATTATCGAACTCACAAACTTAGTGTTGACAGGCTAGTGATACAGTAGTTGAACTACTTAGACTACTCGGTCACTGGTGCCCCTCTGAAGAAAACTACCACTTTGAAATAAGGAAACTTTGTTGGATTAATGAGACAACACTTCACCAGAGACAAAACGAGGTAGAAGTTATCAAGGTCACAGTACGGCCTCCAACAGCATTTTTCCACTAGAACCCATCACCCGGTCTATTCCCCTCTAACTTGAGAGCATGGCCTTCTGAAATCAGTATCATTTCTTTAGAACAGAAAGGAAGATAATAAGTTTTACTTGAGTTTTTTTGGGGTTTTTTTTTTGGTTTTTTTTTACTTTACACCTTGTAACATTTGAATATTCGAATTCAAGGGACGAAAAAAATGCCTGATTATATCTTTAATTCCTTTATTAATCTTTTACCCGAATCCCTGATGCAAAAGTACTTATCAATTGTTTTTTTTTTTTTTTTTTGTTGTTGATATTTTTCATAATTGTAAAATTTGTTAGGTTTATAATAAGTCGATGCGTGTTTTAAAAAAAATATATCTTTTTTTAATTAGCATGTTTGTAGTTGTATGACGTTTCTAAAGCTGTAAGATGGTTTTGGTATGTAAAACTTAGTACAAAAAGGGGACTGTTGTTTAACCCAGAAATCATGACGATGACCTGATTGTTTTGACCATGTGATTTACCGATTAGGTGCAAAGACATGTGATGGTAACGTTTATTGAGAAAACAAGTCATTAAAATAAAAAAAAGATATAAATGTTGACTGGTCACCTTGAGAAATATTTTCTGTCAATTTCTTGCTATCATTTTGTTCATATACTTATCTGGATATGGCAGAATAATTTTTGAAAATTTGCATAGCGGCCGTATTGACTTTATTTTTGACAACAGCGATTTCAATAAGATTTTACAGTTCTTACTTTGAATCATGCTATTGCCTTCTGTTCGTGTGCAAATAAAAGTTCTAAACGTTGAAAACTTTCTGCCTTTATAGATAAAAGGGGTTTATAAAAAAAATCCCGTTTGAATGGTTTTACACTAGTAATTTTTGGGGCCCTTTATAGCTTGCTGTTCGGTGTGAGCCAATGCTCCGTGTTGAAGGCCGTACCTTGACTTCTCATGGTTTACTTTTATAAATTGTTACTTGGATGGAGAGTTGTCTCATTGGCACTCATACCACATCTTCCTATATCTCTTTATAAAAAAGGGGTAAAAGCTGCCTTAAAAGTAAAAATTTCGTGTAAACATTCAAATTCAAACTTAAATCAAACTATCAAAGAAGTCTTAGAGTATAAAATTACAAACTAAGACTTATTACGCAGTAAGGTAACAACGAGGGGAACATTATTGTATATAGTTATAGGTAGATAAATTATAGTTGACCTTCCTTTTTTGTCTGTTTAGGCGAAATATACCGAAGAGTGATAATTAAGTAACTTTTTCCCATACTGATTTTATTTCATATAATGTACCTTTTTTTTTTCTCTGATCAAGATTTAAAAGGGGTGAACAGGGGGGTAACAGATATCTAAAATAATAGTAGTCGCACCACATAGTAGAAATATACTATAAGTGTGCGTGTACAACACCTGAGACCTCGACAGCAACTGTCTTGTGTCATATTTTTTTCTTTTTTTGTTCTTTGTCATGTAAAGAATTTGGTGATTATAGCAGATCTTTGTTATTTAATTTTTTATTACTACTTCGGGAAGCTTTAGAGCTTGAAATGTTGTAAAAAAACGTGTCGATT